ACTTTTACAAGAGAACCTTAATAATTAAATCTAACAATGTATTCAAATGTTCAACATGCAATAAATGATTTTACCTATTCAAAATCTTTTCTTTAGTATCAGTATCATCAAAGCGCATTACAAGCCCATTAATAGCCAATTGATAAAATATTGGTTTAAAAGAGCTATCTTATGTAGCTAATATGTAAATATATCCAACATAAATTACCTATGTATTTATAAAGATTATACACTACTTAAAATTAAACTATTTTAAATTCATACATGTACATTTATAAATAGATAATTAGATAAAAATATACTAACCTGCTATCTTCTATGGGGAAATCTAACCTTGCCCATTTCAGATTTAGGTAATTACCCAATTTAACCTTGTCCTTTAGCCAACACCATAGGTTTTGTTGCTCGCTTCTCCAGTATATCCTGTATCCAGTATGCCGTGTACTTTGTACATCAGATTTATCATCTTTGTATTTTTAATTATTTGTCTGTTATTGACTTAAGGTTATTTTATTTTTATCAGTTTTTATGTATTGGTTTTTATCATATTTATCAGTTAATATTATTACTATTATTATTATATACCTATACATCAGTATTCATTATTATTTATAGTTAAATTTACAATATAACAAATAAAAATATTTTAAAAAAAACATTGTTTTAATTTTTTTTTGTTTGTACCTATCTGCTATCTGTATACTTTGCATTTGCACTATTTGCAGTAATAAATTATTGAAATGCATACTGTTACTATTGTACGCCACTAGAGTGAAACAACGATTTGAGACACTATTATTATTTTTTTTAACATCATCAATTTTACCATGGTCTAGGAATAATTGTTTGTAAACAAATTATGAATTAGGAAAGGGAGTTACATAGACATATTGTTTTGGTGACTCTCCCTCAGCACGAATATTTTTACAATTCGATTTCATATTTATTATGCTGAAAATTTAGTGCTCTTGTTTGTTCCCGCGACCATTGGGTAAGTTATTAATTACAATTAAAATTTGAATACCTACCTACTACATAATATTGTGATAACATGCTATTGTTGAAACACCCCTCCACAGTTAATGTTTGTATTTTCATGCAATTAAATGTGCTTAAGCCTAATTTTATATCAAAACAAAATTACGGTGGCTTGGTGAACATAAATTTGACGAGAGGCAAATATTTTGTTAGACTGCTCACCCACCCTACCTTACTCTACAACTAAAAAAAATGTATATTTTGGGATAAATCTGAAGAGACTAAATTCCCCTGAGAAATAATCATCTCATTCATTTCATAGATTATAGATACCTATTGGAGGTTTTATCTAAAAATTAATTTCCCACAATTATTATCCTACCTTCAGGGACAGAAAAACAGGGAAATAGCGTTTCCTCCCTCCACCCGAATTATATTAAAATTTAAAGGATACATCCTTAGGTAATTTATCTCATAAATTATTGTACAATACTAATTTTACTTACTGTACAATTTATTATTTTTATATTAACACAGTGCACACTAATTGGTACCTACAGCCATGTATGTTATTTTGGGTATGGAAAATTAACATAGTTAAATATTAAATAAAAAGTCCTGTAATCGTTTTTAACCTTCACATTTTTTTTTTTTATAAAAATATAGTTTAAATATATTATTAAAATATTCTCATTTATATTTACTAATATATTTTTCTAAAATGATTTGGTTATTTAAATTTATGAAATAGGTATTTATTTCTATATTTAACTATGGTTCAAGTATCAAAGCCTGTTATTCAAGGTCTATCTCTATGTAATCACCACAGGTTACTGACTAGATACCAACTCAAATATATATACAATATTTTAATTCTTGCAATTAATGTTATCAATAATCAATAAAAAAATAAATAAAAATATTCTGAATAATAACTTTGCATATTATTAAAAGCCTATGGGGGGGGATTGTTCCCTTGATTCCCCCTCCCCCGTAAATATGCAACTGATACAATGCGAAATATGTACCACAAGACGTAATCAACTCCAAAATTTAATATTACAAATTAATACACATTTCTCCTAATTCAAATTAAACCACACATTTGTCCATGAATAAAATGAAAAGGTTTAAAAATCATTTTTCATCATATTATATGTAGTATAATAAACATATTAAGTTAAAACAAAATCAATTTAAATAAGCATAATTTAATTACTAGTAGGTACCTAAGTCTTGAAATGTATACAATAAAAATACCCAACAGTATTATAAAATATATAAACATGAAAGCATATATTATATATATTACAATTAATGAAAACCTTCTTAATTTAGCAAAATTACCTTTATTCAGTAGTTAGTACTATAATACCAATATTATGTTATTTATACCAGTGTTTATGTCTTCTGATAATGTCAACATTTTTAGTGATAACAAAACAATTTTATAAAATTACAAAATGAGCATTTTAGAATATAAATTATGATATCTAGAATGGGTTTATCTTTTTACTCCTGTATTCTACCCATTAGCCATCAGGACAGACAGAACTTTGAACTTTGCAGAACTGAGACAACTATTATTACTCTGATGATGTAAACATGTAAACTGTGGATGTAAGCATGTAAACTGTAAACATTCCAAGCTTTACTTCCATTCTTATATTACAGTCGAGGAGCAAAGTTCCTCCAGTCCAATGTATTAGAAGCATCAAGTTTTGGTTACAAAATTGATGTAATATGAAAGTTGTCTGTAAATTATATAATAAAGTAGAACCTCGATAAGTCGAAATTTAATTTTTTTGACTTATCAAGGATTTCAAGTTAAGGTTTTAAGAAAAAAAATTGACTTAAAGTTTTTAAAATGTATGTATGTATTATAATTATTATGTAGTATAGTTAATGTACATACAATTACAGTATGTTGTTATTTTAAAATTGTATTCATCAAGTTGTTTTTAACAAGTTAATACAATTTTAATTTAATTTCGTAGTAATATACATTCATAACAATTGTATCCAGAAGAGCTCATATTCGGAGTAGTGTGTTCGATGTAGTATATGATAATTTGGCGGGTTACACCAAAACACGAGGTTTAATGATAAAGTAAAAAAGAACGTTTATTTACGAGATAAAAACATAATACAAGTGCTCGCCAGCTGACGGCTTGTGGCGCAAGAACCGGCGAGCACGCAATAATTAAAACAACATTAGTGGTAAAAATCAATTATACATAATAATTATTTGGAGTCGGAAAACAATGTTTCGGGAACGGCATCGGTGCGAAGAGAGCGAGCGGAGCGGTCCAGACAACGAGAGGAGCGGAGCTGTGGCCGATGACGGTTGAAC